AGAGTGGCAGCAAGAATCAAAGGAAAGGTGTACAAGACAGTAGTGAGACCAGCTATGCTGTATGGGTTAGAGACTGTAGCAGTGAGGAAAAGAGGCACAGATGGAGGTAGCAGAGATGAAGATGTTGAGGTTCTCTTTAGGAGAGACCCGGATGGCCAGGATTAGGAATGAGCACATCAGAGGGACAGCTCAGGTTGGCTGTTTTGGGGACAAGGTCAGAGAGGCCAGATTGAGATGGTTTGGACATGTGCAGAGGAGGGATAGTGGTTATATTGGTAGAAGGATGTTGGAGATGGAGCTGCCAGGCAAGAGGTCAAGAGGAAGGCTAAAGAGGAGATATATGGATGTGCTAAAATTAGGAATGCCTCTAAATATAATATAATGTAATAATAAATAGAGTGTATATGTTTATGACAGTTTCACTAAAAATAAACATTTTGAGCTTCATATAAACAGATATTAAGGTGGAAGTGTTGCATGCTAATTGTACAGATGTACCTAATGAAGTGGTTGGTGAGTGTACGTTACTTGCAAGATTAATAAATGTCACTTGCTTATCAGGAATTGTTGTGGACTTTTGATCTTAAATAAAAATCTGATTCAAACCTGCCACCAACCTAGCTGCATTTGTTATATTAGCAACTTGGACTTGTGTTTTTGGTGGAAGAGAGTGGTGTGTAATATACTGCATTAAAAGCTAAATAATTTAGCTTTTTGGCTAATTATAGGGGAATGGGTAGATGTTGCTAGCATTTTGTTAATGAATTTGCTATACTTTTTTTGTCAAAATTTTCTCACCCATAAATGTGGTATAAACGGTCTACATTTGGGTCAGGCAGCAACATATAAATATTTGCTTGTGATAACTACTGTAGTTTAGTTGGGAAAATGCATATTTCCATGTTCTGAAATATGGAACCATATCAATAAATGTGAATTAATGTTCTTTTAGTGATGATCTATTAAGTAACTAACTAATCACTGAAAGCCACAGTGACTCGGTTATTTGTTAATGGTGAAATAGGCCAAATACATCGAACACATAGCTGCTGGCTCTCTTTGCTTGAAAAAAGTGCCGCCAACAAAGTTACCAATATACAAAAATGTGCAAGAAGTGTGATTGGCAACAAACTTTGCTGAAAACTATAGAAGTTATTAGCAAAAAAATGGGGTCCTCCCTTGATAGGGATTGTTTAAATGCACAAAATGTCCCATTGGCCCACTGTGTAATAAGAAAAACAGTTGTATGAAACAGCATAAACTTAGATCACATCAAAGAACTTGTAGTGTACGGCATTATTAGGAACATGGTCATGCTTTGGTAATTCCCCTCTGTGGAAAATTATCTGGCCGGATAATGGGAGACAATTCCTTAATTGTTCTAATACTTAGCAATTCCTTAAAATGAGTGTAAGGTTTTTGAATTGTATTTAGTGCAAGTGTAGAGTAAAAACATACAAACATAAAGCCTGAATGTGACAGCTAATGTTTGAATGGCCTGAGCGTTTCCATGGATATTAACTTAAATGGCACTAGGAAGGAATTTTTCTGGGATTTGTTGATTGATTCAGTGTTTCTGAATAGGCTATAAATTATGATACATGTGGTGCTTGCAATAGCCTTTTTTTTTTTTTGTTCTTTTAAAGGAAGTGTTTGTGATTACAGCATCTGTAGGGTAGATTTGTATAATTTAAGACCAAAATGTCTTTATGCAATGTGTACAACCAAAGCCATTTTCTTATATAATTACTAAATTAGAGCAGGGAGGCAGTTGGCAATTCATCTTCATCACCTCCTAGTCTAACACAATTGCTAATAAATATGACCTGCCATTACCTGAAAGGGCTGTACAGTATACTACTACATCAGCTGATATCATAACATACTACATGAATACAGAGACAGACTTCTCCAAAATGATATTGTAAAAATGTTTGTGTGGCTGTAGCCCAACTCTTTTGGAACATATATCACTTAATGTCAGGACTGTTTTAAATTTGAGAAAGAGTAAGATGCTGGTATTGGGACTATATGTAAAAGTTGTGCATGCTTAATTCGATTGATTGCGTTTGTTTGTATTCATTTTCATGCGTCCTCCTCGGGTGCCTTATTTTGAAAACCGGACATAGTCAACACGTTTACAAATATGTAGCGTAAAGAATGGTTAAATTTCACGTCCGGGTCACTTCACTATAGAGAATCAAGCAGCTGACTGCAGTATTCAGCAGCTATCCACAGTCTTAGCGGCATGGCACAAACGGTGTTGGCGGTAATTGCGGTGTATCTGAATATATTTGTGGGTTTCTGCTTTTCTCAGATTTATATCCTGGACGATGCAGGGGGATTGGGAAGAGTTTTTGACGGAATTGGAGGTTTGAGCGGCGGAGGGGTGAGTTCAGCCTTGATTATATTTTCTTCCTGGTTGTTTGGCTCTAGATCACAAGACTTGGTAGTAGATTCCAGGGGGGCGTAAAGTAGGTTTTCCCGTAGATATATTTCTCTTACTATAGTCTGAACCAGGGCTTCCCAATAGTGTCGGTACATCTCGTGTCAATATAATGAGCTTAGTTAATGCTTTCAAACGAAAAATGCAACATTTTGCGGAACTTCCAAAACCTCGTATCAGAGCTGGAGATGCAACGGAAAGCATGTGCGCAACTTGATAGTGAGCGCCACACAAAGCAGATTGACAGTTGTCGATCAGAGTTTGACAAATGCTTTCAAGACTTTGCCTCACTTGAGCCAGTCTCTACATTTATGTGCTCCCCATTTAGGGAAGATATTGAGGTTGATTCACTGCAACAAAAATTCCAACGCTGTTTGACCTGAACTGGTCTGGAGGATGAGATATTGACACCACAGACTGACATTCAGCTGAAGTCCAGGGCTAATGGACCGTTTTGGAACTTACAGAGGAAAAGTGCCCAAACATGAGGAAATGTGCCACTGACTTCATTATTTGGCTCTACTTATTTATGCGAGTCAGCATTTTCTCACACTAAGATTATTAAGTCCAAATACCGCTCCACCATGACTGATGACCATTTGGAAGTCTGCTGGAGGCTGGCTACCAGCAGTAAATATATGTTTAGTATTTTAACTGTAGGTAGATCATTTTGACTTGGTCATTTGAAAAGTAACTCGCAAGGCGAAAAAGTGTGCGCACCCCTGGTCTGCACCTAGCCTAGTAATCTGACCCTAGTCTTACTCTAATCCTAACCATCTACCTCTGCCTACTTCTAAGTCTTGGGACCTAATGTTTACTTTCCCTGGTTCAATACTGTCCACGGGGGAGTTAAAACAACCTGAATGTTTCTGTTACCACAGACTTTTTTTTTTTTTAATACAACATTTTTCTCCTTTAGGCGACTTCTCGGTTACTGGTCAATTATGAAGAACCGTACCGCAGCCATATATTAGACTACCTGTTCAAGGTAAAATTTAATGGAAGTCACACGAATCCGTTAAAATTAAGGGGGAACTCACCTTTGCGTCTGTTTGCCGTCTTCAGCCGAACTTCGGAGCTTCTTTGCACATGCTGAAGGTGGAGATCGGAGGAGATGCTCAGACTACTGGTGAGTGATGTTTATTCACACAACAGTGTATTTTTTCCGCTATTGACATGTCTACCGATTATTTATAAGAAAATATTAGAACACACACATATACATTATATATATATATATATATATATATATATATATATATATAAGATAGAGTGGAGATGGAACCCTGAAACATTTGGCATTTATTTTAGCGGATTTAGACAGTTAATGGCTTATTAATTTTATTGATTTATTTTCCCGCAATTCAGTTGATTGCCTAAGTCACTGATACATGCATAGACTGTTAGTAAATGTATTGTAATCTCTAGTTTTCCCTAATGCATCCCAAAGTATGCTGAAAACTGCAAAAATAGTGGAATAAGTTGAAAAAATAAAACATTTTATCTATCCATGAACTAATACAACATTTCTCTAGGGCTGCATGATAAATCGTTTTGTGGGTGTGGTTTATTTCTGTGTGCAATCTCAGTCTCACATAATGACTCTGTGGTGTTTGCATTAGCAGGGAGATGCCTTGCACCCAGCCAAGCGCTCCCTTTTCCTAGCCAAGCTGCGCTAATTAACAG